AGTGAGGCGCAGAGCAGCGCGGGCCAGAGCAGACGATGGTGACGGGAGGACGGACAACAGGATCGGCGTGAGGGGAGAATGGGGTGAAGTGGGAGCTTATATTCCAAAGGTGCTCCTCCTGTCATGCGGGAGGAGCGGAGAGACTTGCCCATGGCAGCGAGAATGGGATGGTAACCATCGGACCAACACAGCTACGTTATGCAGGACAGGAAGGACCGTGGAGTGCAGAGAACCGGCTCCACACACTCGGCAGGCTGGGGAAGGGAAAGCTTCGGACGGGACACACAGGCGGAAATGAAGCTAACAGGGGACGATCAACGATTTGGAGGTGAGGGCAAGATGTGACTGGAGCGTCTACCCGAACATGTACCTAGTGGGATCCTTTCGCTTGTCCGCCCCAGAGAAGAAACGAACAAACAAGATTGACTGAGCTAAACCACACAGTAGCTGGGGTAAGCTTAGTAGGTGTGGTAAAGCTTTCGTCACGGGCCAAAGCTAGTGGCACGTAACGCTGCGCGAACCGAGATGCGAGTCCAAAGGAATTGTAGGACCAACGAGTGATTGCATTGCAGGGAGGGGCCAGCCCCAGAGCAACGGCAGCAGAGCGAGGCCGGCCAACGGTGAGGTCGAAAAGGGACCGATGACACCCTCTCCAGTGGGACGAGCGGGGTCAATTGGATTGTGGTTGGTTGTCCCTCAGGAACACACGGCAAGTCAATGGCCAAAAGTTCCAATTGGAGATGAATGGGACGAGTCGAGGTCCAACGGCAGGGAAACAAGATGGCAAAAGTCCGGGGTTAGGGCGCGATGATGGCATTAAAGAAGCGGAGATGCCGGGGTGGGGAGTTGGGGGAAGGAAGAGAAAGGCGCACAAACACCCGTCGGGAGAATTCTCTTATTGGTGCGCGTGTGTTCTTTCCCGAGGTCCCGATGTCCCGATGGCTTCGCAGCTTCAGAATTGACCAGAGAAGTACGGATAGGTACCGGTAGTGAGGTGAGCACACTTGCAGGGGTCTGATGCCGCTGGAGCTGGGAGGCGTCCGCGCTGCTTTTGCCGGGGAAATTGGCGTGCGGGGTTTTAGTGCCACTTCCCCAGATGTCGTCCCTGTTTCCCCGCTCCAGTTCCTCGACACTTATCCGACCTTCCTCGACTCCTCTCGACTCCTCTCCACCTGAGGTAGTCAAGCTTTCTTTCCCCGGCTGACGTTACAGCTGCTATACCCACAGGTCGACATTGTGTGCTGCAACAAGGGGCCCGCAGTCTACTCTGTCGTCCTGGAGACCACGGCTTCGTCCTCCATATTCCTAGCAGGCATGACTTCCCGAGGGAAGGGAACCAATCTCCCAACACAAGATTGTCCAACCCGCACGGAATCAACAACTGGCGACAACAGATTATCCAACCGGCTAGTTGGTGAAGCTACTACGTAGACAGGCAGACTTTGCTGCCGGGGAAACACTGATTGGAACGCATCGGTGACAGCATCCCGGGAAGCAATGACTAGCCTCCTCGCCACCTAATGGCCAAGCTCTTAGGACCCAGCCTTTTTACGGTCCTAGACTGCAAGAGGAAATCTGAAGAAAGGTTACTGACCACATGTCTAGGATGGGGCGAGCTCATGGGAGAATGTAAAAGACTCGATACTGAGATACTTGGCAGTTGAAGGCCTAGGCTTACTCGACTCATCGTGACCGAAGTCGGATTTGACTACACAGTGACGTCAGCAATTTCTTGAACCCGTAAACTAAGCCTATGCTTGATCTGTATGTGAGCAATGATCGTTTCAACTCCGTAATTCGGCGATGCCTTTGTATGTTCCTCTATTTCCTTTGCCACGAGGGACCCCGCATACAGCGCCGCCGCTGAGAAGTGTGTAAGTCGAACAGGCATCTTCTTAGCGGCCCTGAAAGGATCAACAATGGATCCAAAGGCTCGTCATAAGAGTTTCCTATGAAGACATGGAATCTCTAACCAGAAAAGGCGTTGTCGAATGCTGTCCTCAACTCCGTCTCCAGTGAAACGCAGCCGCTTCCAAAGACACCCGCCATGCCTTCGGTCGCCTGAGTGCAGCTTTTAGTAACTAAAGCCGCTTCAGCCTAGGAATTCCATGTATTTTCTAGGTTCTTTGGAAAATGAATATTCATTGTTTACTCGTAGCATACATTTCAAGAAGTGGCGCGGCCTGTAGATTGGTGCTAGCTTCGCCTCCAACGACAGGAGAGTGTATTCTATCGAACCTATACCTCGAGGTAGTACAACAGGGTTATAGAAACATAATGGTAGTTAAAGTGAACAAACGTGTTTATGACCACATCCTGTTCTCTATTCAGTTCTTAAAGTCTTGATAGACGCCCTTCGCCATGATGCTATCGCACGATTGGCCTCCGACACAGCCCCTCGCCGAACTTGACACTGATACAAACATGAACTGAATCTTCTACATTATCGAGTTCGATACTCGACGGGTCAGAGAGCCTCCCAGTGCCGTTGATCTCGACCTGATAGACTGGCGGGGTATATAGGGGCAAGTCTCGGTGTCGTGAGTGACGGAGTTCATGGACCCTTTGATGGGTCGCTTCATCGAAATGGAAGATGGTTTTGAGGCTCGCAGGCAAGATTCTTTTTTAGGGCAGTCGAAGAGTTTTTTATTTTGTTGTTTTTTTTGCCAGAGAGGGTGGGAATAAAAGTTTCGAAGAAGAAAAAAAGGGGACGACATCGGCTCCGTAAACTTGCTCAATGGTGGCGATTTCCGATTTCATCAACGTTGCTGTCTCCACGCTACCAGAGAACTATCAAGGAATTTTGTATCGGTTCGATTCAGTGAATGGGGGCTGATGTAGTTCATCATCTCTTCATAGTAGCCTTTGGCGAGCCTTCTCGAGAGCCGCCTCATGTCGAACCGAAAGGGTAGTGAAAAAGCAATAAACCCAGCCTTCCAGTTCGTAGGGGCGGACAGGACCGTAGTACACCTACATGGTCAGGGAATTCGCATCGCCATGCAACCGATTTGGTTTTCCTTCCCCGGCCCCCTCTATGCTGGCACCGGAATGACATGATTGCTCCCCGAGTGTCCTGAAGGGCTAGAATCACGCAACAGTCAATATATACTATAGCGATTGAGTTTCGCGAGGCGTCGGTTTGGTGGCACATGGAGACTCGAATAACTCTTGTTACTGCGTTTGCAGTAACCAAGCTTCAAAGTCTTGGGAGACCCAACATGACAGGGGCGGGATCACGGGCGTCGAAGGGGACAGAGAGGCTATGCGAGTCCATGCTTGAACTTATGAAGTCTCTGAATAGCCTCGAAGAGAAGAATTGAGAGAAGTTGCAAGCTTGAATTCACTCTTCCTAGTGAAGAGGGGAACTTCTCTCCACTAATAGCTAGAATACACAAAGAGCAGCTTCTGTAGCTTCTGGCAGGCTGCAGAACACTCATGCAGGCATACGTATGTTACCTGCAGATAAAAAAGGCAGTGGAAGGTCTGAGAAAACAACTCAAAGGGTGCCATTGCGTAGGGGCTTGCCAGACGCTCACCGGCAATGGGTAGCCTTGGCTCCAAGGCTAGAAACAGGCTCCTCTGGGGAAAGCCTGGGGACGAAAGCAGACGAGAACTCCAGTTTTGTAAGTACCAGTAGTGCAAACACCAATAGCCTGATAATTTGGTTTATAGCAAGAACAAAGCTTGAAGAGAGACAATACTTCATATGTATTCGGAAATTGCTTGAACAAAAGTGCCAATGCTTGGCAGAACCTCGTCCTCCTCAGAGGCTCAGAGAAGATGATGATTCAAGAGCGCAGTAGCGAGAAGCTTCTATTACTCTTAGTGATCAATTAAGATGATGTTGGTATACGGTATGGACCTGTATCTGAACGGACGCCATTGGGTAGATCCCATAGACCATTACAGATATGGACATGGCGGCATTCTACATATGCGAACGAGAAAGGGGGAAACCAGTCCACGAAGATGATCGTCAATCTCAAAGAAACCTGCAAAGGATTCCACTGAGACCAAGGAGCTCAGGCCTGCCGAGCTCAACTCTACCCATCGAGCAACTTGCCAAGCGCTCTGCTCAACTGCCTAACACCATGGAGAGCAACAGACACGCTGGCCGGCCACTCGTTATGTACGTCATGTAGGGCCGCAGATTACAGTACTAGAAGCCAGTTAAGATACAATTATTGAATGAAAATTATATTTGATGTGTAATCATGTGTCACCCTCGAAGTATAGGCGTCACGGTGCAGACACCACCATTTTGACCAAGGACATTCACGACGAGCCAGCTCACCCGCCCGTACGATTGTGGACTACCGGTAATGGCCGTGGGCATGATGAGACACGATTTTTTCTTATTCTCGTTGCGGCGGATCTCAAATTCACAAGCAAGGGCGATTGGCGGAGCAATAAGAAGATGACGATACCGGAAGAAAGAAGCCATCTCGCTACAACCCTGCGCATCGCCGGCTACGGACGGAAGGTCTCTCGTATGTTTCATGAACGGGCTCACCTCGGTGACGACGGTGAGGGCGGTGTTAATGTGTGGGGAAATGACCCTTAATGCGGTGAGGCAAAATTTGGAAATGCTTGTTGACCTCGGTCGGGAAAGAAAGCAAAGGTGGGTGGGTTCTTTCCATGTGCAATCTCACAGCCAACAGCAGGCAGGCTCGACCCGGCATAGGTAGTGACGTCGCACCTCCTTCTATCACCTACCTACCTTTGCTTCGTCTTGATCTTAGGCTAAGGTGTCTGGGCGGGTAGGTAGGTAGGTAGGTAGGTAGGTAGACAAGGCAAGGCTAGCTAGCGTGCACACAGCGAAACCTTCGGAAGGCGCGATTTACCAGATACAGGAGGCGGGACCAAGAGGAGAGGTTGATGGCCAGCCAGCGAGCGAACTCCCTCCCGACTTGTACGTACCGGTACCTACCTAGGGTATTTAGAAGTAAGTACCCACGGCTGTGGTGCTGCCCCAGACTAGACTGACAGGCACTCCGGCATCTGGTATTGGCATCGCAGCTACCCGCCTCTCTCCTCTCTCAAACAACTCCACGTCCCCCCGAGTTGCCCATGTTTGTTGCCTCGGCCCTTCTTCCTATCTTGTCCGTCTTCTGTCTTCACACCCCCCTCTCTTGAACACATTTCAATGGTACCGGAATCCCCCGTCGATAGGGCATTCCGCAAAGAACCTATTCTTTCCAGAGTCCTTCCGCTCCCCCGGACCACGGGGACAACGTGTCCCAAACAGCATCATACTTTCCTTGGCTCCGCAGACACGCTCCTTTCGCCTAGGACAGGGTGGCACCGCAGATCCTATTTTCCAGAAGAACAAGCGAAGACACTCGGAACGGGGGGTGACGCAAACGAAGGTTGGGGTCCACAGCATCACCTGAACGCTTGACCCCATGTCCGTTCCGTCTGAGCTTGAGAAGTTCCGGAACATTGTCATCACAAAGGCGAGAAAATTTTTAAAATTGCCTGCGCTTCAGCAAGGGTCCAGAAGACGATTCAACACGACAATCACCACCGCGACATTGACACCGTATGCTCATGGTACCTGATGCTGCTTGCACAGCACGCCGTACCGCAAATCATGGATCCCTCCCTGGCAGGGTTCCGCACATAACGAGCGGAAGCCCTTCCCCGGTGCCACGAGGCTAGTTCCCCCCCTCCATTCCCTCCGTCCCATCTCGTCCCCGAAAGGAAAAGGTTGCAGCATCGATCGACCAACTCATCAACCAAACGGCTTGCTGAATGCTTGCGTGGCTTCAAAACCTCCATACGCGAATGAGTTGCTAGGCGGGCGAGGTTTTGCTCCCTTGCGCTACGGTTGACCTATGCGCTCAGCTGCCAAAGACACCCATGCCCCGCCACGCAGTCGCATAAACTACGAGCAGTAAGATAGGTAGGTGCCTGAGTTTAGAAGGTTATCCGACAATGTTGTTCGAACGGGTCATGCAATGAAACGTTCGTTCGCTCAGCATGCAGGCGCCCGCCCTGACTCGTCGTAGAATTTGTTCCCGAACATCTTCATCCCCTTCGGCCAGTCGCAATCAACCAGTTCGAACTTTCCAAACTGCCGCGTGGCCAGTGCTGCCAATGCCACTGAACCTTCTCTACCACGCTAGCTGCAAATACGATACGTATGTCTACCTGCTCAAATGACAGGGCTGAGTCATGACCTGTCGCTTCGAACCTGGTGTTTACGAAGCAAAAAGCTTCTGGAATGTTTCCATGGCTTCGCGTCAAATCACAAGTCATACTCATGTCATGACTCCTACTTAGACATTGCCATGTATACATACCCCAAGCAACTTCCAACACGTCCGAAACCATTTGAAAGCGGACGAAAGTCAGGTTAGTCAAGTCAACAGCTGCGACACGACTTGGTCTAGCTATGTGTGATTACTGCAACGCTACCCTACCGGCCCAGAACCCTGGCATACAGCAAAGACATGAGCTTTCACTGGCCGTCCACTGCGGATGCCCTCTTCCCTGTACGGCTCTCCTTGAAAAGGTCGGATACATGAGATACCCCAAGGCTGCAGGTCCCCGGACTTCGGCTGCTTCTATGAGCAACAGAGGCGTCCATTGCCAGTCGACCCCGGCAGCAAAGGTACATGCGCTGCAGCTATAGAGCACGCGGCGCCGAGCCCGATGGAGGGATATGCACATGGTAAATGGTTGGGACCCATTCTGCGGAAGCCTTCATGGAAGGTCTTCATCGGCCCTGACCCTAGCTATAAGTTCGAGAATACTCCGTAGGCCCAACCCGAGGCCTCTCTGCTATCCTTGTCGACATCGCAGTGCCATCAATGTCCAAGTTGATCAAAGTGCCGTTTCTCTCTTTGGACCTAGGTCCCCAGCAATGTAATCCTCTTTTCTGTTTTTGTTTACAAGGTTTCACAATGAGTGTGTTCGCTTCGGCTTCGGCCACCTTTGTGACAATGGTTATTGATGGGCGATCTCAAGCCATGCAAGGTGGACACAATGAACAACGGCTTCGACCGTCGGCCCATGACGTGGTGGAGCTAGCCGACGCGTTTGAATACCGATAGGCCTTGACCGTTGGGTTGGGTTGGGCTGTGGCAGAGTGCAACCTCATCAGACCTCAGGGAGCCACTTGGCTGGCCACCTGGCAAATCCACTGCGGAAGTCACATGATAGTCCCTGGATACAACGGGGGGGTCCTTACCTTGTGTTTGATAGCAGAGGTACCGAACAAGTTCGATGGATGGCATGTTGTTACCGCCGGCCATCGAAAAGGCATCAACATATTTTCAGAGACAGCGCCTTAAAGCAGCCAACGGCTGCCGCTGAACGGTGCTCGCAGATGGCCTGACGAAAAGGGTCGGAAGCACGAGCTTCTGCTTCTTGAAGCATGACCGGCTTGTCGGTATCCAGCCGAGGAGGGTCACAATTTTACCCCTGTTTCATCGCATATCCTCCCCAGCAGACCCAAGTCGCCGAATGGGCTAATGCAGGAACGACGACGGTACGAACAGTTCTGATTGCCCTGCCTTGGGTGGCGGCACGGGGCATACGGTACGTACCCCGTCTACACTACCGGTACCATGACATCGTCCTGCCGCCGCGGCCTGCACATCCACATCCAGCGCCCACGGCATGCACAACAGTACTACGTGCCTAGGTACTTACGGTACATACGGAGTACATACATACATACTAGGTACTTAGTACACTTGGCTCTGGGATATCTGTACTGAAGTTACTAATACCCAGTGCCTAGAAGCTGGAGCAATCCAACGAAGTCGAGCATGTCTTATCGCAAACGCTCCTTTACCACGGCCAAGCCCGTCAGCTAAGCGACCTTTTGTTCCTAGCTGCTCTCCGCTCCGCCGCCCCTGGGAACCAGAGACCCGGATGCCTCCCTTCCAAGCCCTCGATGTGGCGTATCGGAGCAAGAGAATCGGCCTGCAGGACCCGGTTTAAGGAGCCCCAGACGCCCGGCTAAGAGCCCACAAGATCCCAGTCTCTTACTGTGCGACTACGCCGCGGAATAGGAGTTCTTACACAGTACAAACTGCCAGGTCAGAAGAGGAATGGGTGGACCTCCCAGGTCGATATATGCCCACACCGGCCCAGAGCACATACCATTGGCGGGTTTTGCCCTGTGATTCCCGGCCAGGCCGTCGCAGGGCTTCCACGCTTCCAAAGCTTCTGGAAGGTTTTAATACATCCTCAGTTCACTGGAGGAACAGTGCCCACGGCCCCTGGCACCGAGCCCAAGTGGTGCATGAAGGTTCCGACGTCTGCCATCTGACAGGGGATTCCTTAACCGGGCGGAGGGGCTGACGAACAAAAGCGAGCAAGAGCTTCAGGAGATGGCTTCATCTCATTTGCAGGATCCCATATGTGATTGATGGAAAGTTGTCTCATACGGCCCTGGCTTCAGCAACGCAGGGCAGAGTACGCTGCTACGCGGGATAACTACCGAGACGGAACAACAAGATACGAAAAAGCGGGACTTTTCCATTTTGAAAGGAGTACGGATAGTATTGTGACCTGTTATCGCATGCTTGCCAATCAAAGAGTCGTCGGCGGTTTGTTTCAACGATCAGTCATCTTCGGGCTTCCAGCAGAACTGCCCGGAACAACAACAATTTGTAGCAGGGTTGTGCCGACCATCACCGACGGCATATGCCAAACGACTCTCTTGGCAAACGGCACTGTTTACGTGATCCTCGACAACAGGGAAGCCGTTGAGTTTGCGAGCCAAACACCACTAATTTCATATGAATGGAAAACGTGTTTCCACCAACAAAACTGGAACACCACTGCCCCGTCCAAGGGCTTCCGTTGGAGGAGATTGTGGGTCATTGAGAAAAGATACACTACGGTTCAATGTCGTCTAAGCTACTACTGCATTGCACCCAGTGCATTGTTTTCTCGGCAGATCCGACTAAACTATACGGTAATGTGCAGCCAAGGGATTGTGAAGTCATTGTTGACTTCGTGTGCGCAGTCGGTAGGGCCAACTGTTGGCTCGTTTGTCAGTGATGGGGGACATCGATACTCGACATGCCTTGGGAATTTAGAAGTCGGTGTGGCACATGGATTTTATGTGTATCTATGCTGGGACTTAGGCGAGCGGACGGGATCGATCCGCCGGCTTCATGCAAGCACTCAAGCCGAGCCGCTTGTCTCTTTCGGGCCAGTGGCCTCCAGTCTTGTTACATGCCGTATTGAGAGAATTAGCCGCACCGATTGCTCCTAGATGAAACAGTCTTACCGCGGAACTGATCTTCGTCTAAAGGGGGAGGGGCCTCGCTATGGGAGAGGCTAGTCCAGAATCCGCCGCGGATCTTCTCGGTGAGGTCCTCGACTCCTTCTTGGAGTTGACAGATGCGGAAGGTCGCTGGCCTAATGTCGCTTCTCAAGTCTACGAACTAGCAAGGCTATGAAGGTTGGTGATGATGGTGATGATGATGATGATGATGAAGGGAAAAGCCAACATTCCTGGCCTGTACCGATAGAGAAAAACAAGGGAAACATTTCATTCTGTCGTAATGGTCATTGCCACAATCCCCTCTGCCATCCCATGTCAAATCCCGCGTCCCTAAAAATCGCTCTGTCTCTCCGAAGGTGCTACACACTGGCGACAGATATCAGTCATCGACTGAGTTTCAAAGACCAGACACCCCGAACGGAGCGACTTCAGACGAGGTGCCCAATATATCCGTGGTGTGCGGGCTGAAGACCCTTCTTCTCTCCTGTCGAGACTCCAGTCGGGTGGGGGGGCGTTGTATGTCATGCCAAACATAGGCAATCAAACAGGCCGGTCCGAGAGCTGACGCAGATTCCTGCATCGCCTTGTCACCATACTCACGTTCGCCCTTCGATGGCATCCATACAGCTATTGGGGATACTGGGGCGCCAGCCGCTCACTTAGTCAGAAGAAACAGAGCAGTCTGGCTCAACAGGTCAATGCTAGCACACGAGCGACTTGACGAGTCCTCAGAAGGTTGGCAAATGTCTTGGCTTCGTGAATCATGGACGCATGCTAGTTGCCATCCGTTACAATGTTGGTGCACAGCTGCGTTCCGTCCGAGGAGCATTAGCGAGCGAGTCTCATGTCGCCCGTGCTCTGGCCGAGAGCCACGCGTCTCTCCGTCGGCGGCTGCTTTGGGCACGTCGGAGGATGAGCCGGATTAGCCGTCAGACGGCGGCCATCTCTATTCAAATTCCTATACGTACAAGGAGAGGGATATCGACCGTGTGTTTCGCGACAATGACGACAGCAGGTTAACCTTTCCTGGTACCCGCCGGTCCGACATTCCACAACACCAGCACCGCGAAAAGACTACTCCGCCCTGCCCTGACAGCGGCTGTCGTTCCGTCCACGTGCACACGAGAGTGCATTTCCCATTTCGTGGGGGATCGACTGGTGTGCTCCTGAAGGAACCAAGTAAGTGGTCACTTCGAACCCAAAAGCACTACCGTAGACTGTGGCAAACGGGGGCGATTTGGGATCGAGGGACCAGCGGCCGTGGGGCGTCCGTCCCCAGGCGAAAGTGACAGGAGGAAGTGAGCAAAACTTGGGCCGGACAGAAGACGACGGATGGGATGGTATTGCAAGCCCCCGACTCAGCAGGTAAATTGATTATCGGACGCAGTGCGGCATCGCGTATGGTGGTACGGACAACACGCTAAGCAAAAGGGAAAGAACTTGGGGCGCATGCCACGGATTGGCCATTGACCGAATTATTCCAGATTGGCCACTTTTCGAGTCGCAGTCGTTCTGTCCAACGACGCAAATATGAAGGCTCAGGCAAACGAGGTTGTCGCCGTGGCCCGCCCTCGTGTTCGGTATAGTCCGTCTCAGCGAAAAGACACGCAATCAAACCCTCACATGCGGTTATAATATGATATGCACCAGGCTGCGGAAGGATTCCCGTACCCGCAGCGAGATGACAACTTTTCGACAAGCATACCTGGATGGTTAGGATTGAGGAAAGCGGAAAAGGGGAAAAGAAAAGATAAATCAACTAAAAAGTAGAATAAAATAAAAATCACCCCACCCCAGCATATCCCCAAAAAATCACTGCTCACCGACACCAAGCTGAAGAAGCAAAGAGAGGGTCCGGGACTGGCTCCCCGGTGGGATAACTGCTCACCGACGAGGGACAGGTTTGGGAGGCCGGGGGGAGGCACGATGATCAACAACGGATCGCTGCCACCGTATCCCCCCCCCCCCTTCGGAGGCGAGGAGCACGGCAGGGAGAGGCGTGGCACGCCCGGGCCCCCCAAGCCGGCGTCCGCGAGAAGAGGGCAAGGAGCTAATCAAGGGATGGAATGCACGAGACGACGGACGTGCTCACCTGGCACTATCTTGAGCCGGACAATCAACCGTGCCCTGACGGCTGTTGACTGTCAGGATGGGCCTAGCCAGGTCAGTCTCGGTGAAGGCGTCACAGGGATCGCGACACAGAATTGTGGTCTGCCAGAACCGACTCGGGCGAAGGGACTCGACGGGTCGATTAGCGCAGAGAGATATGCGCCAAGAATCTTTCTCTTGGTTGCTCTTTTTATTTTTTATTTTTTTTATACCATCTTTCTTTTTTTGTTCGTTCCCGACCCCTTGCCCTTCTGGGCGAGATGATACATGACGACAGCAGACAATGGCAAGCTATTTTTACCGACTACAGCGCCGGGTTACGCAATATGCCGTGCGCATTGGAGCTGAGTTGAGCTGAAGTGAGCTGCTAAGTCGAGGACGGAGCTAATTAGGGACGCGTCTGACTAAAACAGCGGGCTTTCCAAAGTCGGATGCGACAGCAGCGCGTTTTGATCCGTCCAATCGGTAGCAAGGACATGCGCTAAGGGCCACGGCCAGAATGTCAGGACGGCATCAAGCAGAATAAGGGGGAGGCAAGGCTTTCCCGGAGCCGCAGTTTGGAGGATGGGAAGCATGCAAGGCGAACCGCGGCGAGAGAGAGAGAGAGAGAGAGAGAGAGACACGGCATGGCGACAAGGGGAAGGGGTAGCAGCTCCTATTCACGATGATACATGGACTTGATGGGGGATACGGACGGATTGGTTGCCTAACTTCCCCCCTGTCCGGCGTGGCCATCCGGGAGGATCGCAGCAGAAACGACGAGCGCCAGTGCAGTGCAGAGATACTATGTAAGCAGGAGGGCAAGCTTCTTCTCGCGACCTCACAACGCTGAAGAGGGCGGATGGGCTTCCGGTGAGCTAAGGTGAGCAAGTCGGACGTGGCAGCCGGTACGTAGACCACATACTTCATGGTGCTGTATGGTTACAGCGGCGGATGCTACCGTATACTCCGTACCTACCTACCTACCAATGCCAGGTATTTTGGATACTCGGTAGCTTGGGTAGGTACGGATAGGTGGGTTGGCCTCACTGCCGGCTGGTATGTATACATAGCCGGGTAGTATACTCTTTTCTCCCTCGCTCTCCTCCTTGTTCGTCGAGTGGGAAGAAGGTCGCCTCACTGGCCCGGGTTTGCTTCCAAGCGGACGGATCTGCCTGCCTCTGGTACTACTACGTGTACGTAGGGTTTGATTGATATCTTTGTACCTCAGACGCAGCGTACCGACGACGCGGTGCAGATACCTTGTCTCGTGCCGCTGCTTGAGGAAGAGTGGGCCGACGCAACGTACCGAGAAACTGTTTCCGTAGTCAGCATGTTTTATGTATGTGTGTGTGTGTGTGTTTTCATCCGTCAGCGGTTCTACACAGTACGATGGTGTTCCTCTCTTCTCATGTCCACGAACAGGCGTTGCCGCCGCGGATGCGAACGCGAACCAAGGCGTCCGTTGTGGCTAAACAGCAAACGCTGCGGCAAAACATGAGGTGAGCTGCACTAATTACGAAACAAACTCTGGGAAGACACTTGGACCTGTCGGATGAAGGGGGAGGGGGAAGGGCCAACAGAGTAAGAGACTCACTCAGTACCGACCTACTTACCTACCTATACCGCAAATGAGCAGCGCTCACGTAGGCTGCCTCATCACGCGCCCAAGTCGGGCTAAGCCATCCCACCATTTCTCACGCCTTTTCTCTAAACAATTGTCAAATTAAAGAGGAAAGGAGAGAAAGAGAGCGAGCGGCCCGACTCTCTGCCACACCGAGCTGGCGCATGCGCGACCGCGAGAGGCTACGTACGGCATTACTCTAGTCTCAATCGATGCAGTTCTAGATTCCCCATTACCCCCATCACCCCTTCACTCCTTCTTCTCCCACTTCGTAGATAGGAACGATTTCTTTGCCTTGCCCCGAGGACGATGCCTATTCGAAGGGGACGACCGAAAGCAGGCCGGCGGTGCCCGTCTCGTCCATGGGCTGCTGTTCATCGTCGTTCTCGACCATCAACAAACACCGGGGCTTTCATTCGTATGACCGACCACCTGAGCAAGGGTTCAGTTTGGCCCGCTCGTTGCTGTTCTTCTTAAGACTCTCATAGTCGATCATCTCTGTGAAGGGGGCCAGCCGGGCTCGGAAACGGGTAAGGGCAATCAGTCGCCTAGCGTGCAGAGCTGGGTACCCAACGCAGCGCCAGCACCAACACCATCAGTCATCACCAACGCCAACGCCTTGCACTTCAAACTTGGGAGCGGTACGGGTACCTGGCATTGGCTTGGCATGGCGTGGCATGGGATGGGCGAGTTGCAGGGAAGGCCACAGGCCATAATCCGGCATGGCTAAGTCCACGCTCCTCTCCATTCTGGCTCCCCTGCTTGCCCCCTTCCCCCCTTGGAGAATATGAAGGGGGTCCTGGCCCGGAACTTGGGTACTGAGGTACCTCACTTGGGCCTTGCAAGTTGCCGCGTTGGCCGGGGGGGGGGAGGGTGCGTTTTCACACCTGCAGCAGAAAGCAAGCAACGGCATCCTGGTCCCTTGCCCCCCCTCCCATCCCTTCCCTTGGTTCCCTTCTCCCCTGCCCTTTAATTTTTTGGAAAAGCAAAGGAACCAAACCTAGGTAAGGAACATTACTATCCATGACCAGTCAGGCCAGAAACATACCCCCCCCCTTCTACCCTCCACATCCCAGGACAGAAAGACAGAGAGAGAGACTGGGGGGAGAGAAAGAGAGAGAGAGAGGGAAAGAGGTGTCTGATCTGGCCTGGTCTTCGTTGACATTGCCGTTGCATACCTAGCCGTACGCCCTACGTGGTCCAGTACAAAGTACCTTACCTACCTACCTAGGTTGGTAGGTAACCAGGCCATGGATAGATGGCTCCCCTTCCCTGCGCTCCCACCCGCCCTGACATTACATTACATTACCTACCTACTTTACATTGCGAACAAGAAGAAAAAATTTCCCATTCTCGGTCGGGGCGTCGGTCTGAAATAATAAGAGTTCATCACCCTCTCCCTCTCATCCGTCCTTTCCTCCTGGACTCCCATTCTTTTAACCACCTCTCCCTCTCTCATCATCTCCTCGTCCTTCCGGCGCCACGCCCTGGTCTATCTCTCTCTCTCTCTCTCTCCCTCCCCCTCCCTCTGTAAACATTTTTGCATATCGTCACTCTACTCCCCGCCTTCCTGCCGACCAGCACTAGCAACCTGCATACGCAGACAACTCACACACGCGCGCCCCCCTTTTTCTCCTGCTGCAACTTCACCGCAGTCTCTGGACACCGTTGGCAATACCCGCACAACAAGAGACTCGTCCGCTCGACCCACTGCTTCTCGTCCTTCTTAGCGAGAGAAGCTGCAGCAACCCATTTCCTCGTCTCGCACCGTACCGTACCGTGCCGTACCAGGAAACCTCGCCTCTTCGCCTTACAGCCAGCCCCCTTCTTCTGGACTCACTCGCCGCCGCCTGCGAAATCTAGCCAGCAAGAGCTTTCACATATCTCATTAATCCAAGACCCGATCCCGCGCTCGGTCAAATAATATATCACAACGCCGGAACACGCACAAAAGGCAAGAACTCCCCCATCCAGGAACGCCTTCCGAGACCTGCGCAACCAATAAATCACCCGTCCGTCCCAACGTCCCGCCAAACTAGCCGGGTCCCAACCCTTCCTTCAACCACACCTTGACCGGTCTGCGACTGCGCAAAGCCTATCTTGCTCGAGCCATCCCCATGCAACGGTGCCGATAATACGCTCCCACTCTTCGTCTGTTTTGCTTCAGCTGCTCCTATTTTTCCCTTCCGCGAAACAACCGAGCAACATTGGTAACGCCCAATTCGGCAACATACCCAGGCCTCGCATCAACACCGCTTCTTGACCCCCGTCGGCTCTCGCCAATCCCATTCTCTAAAGACACTCGCACCCAAGTCCTTAACGCAACTTCCAACACGTTGCACTACTACGGTCTGAATTGTGAGTCAGAGCTGCAGCAAACTTACAGCGCCCACCCCAGCCAATTTCTACGTCTCTATGAGCACATACCCCCAAAAAGTTCCTTCCCAAATTGGTCCCTGTCGATTCCCATCGCCGCGTCGCCTTCATTTCATATAAAGTTGCCGCTTTGTCCTCGCTCATCCCGAGGTTTTGATCGAATCATGGCTAACAGACGATTCATAAAAGACATCGAACCCCAACCAACTCGCGCCCTCACAAGCACATTCACAGAATCATCTTTCAAAATGGTTGTCAGAGAAATCACGAGCTTCTCCAACATGGGCCGTGGTGCCTACGACACGACTGGAGTGCCCAAGCCTCCCCCTCGCCCCAAGCCTCGATAAATTGGCCTCGCGCCCATTCTTCACGAGCGACGCAACCGACGTGCTGCGAGCACGATCCACTATGATTCCCACGCCCGCCTTCGTCGCTTCGGCCGACATGATGGCTTCCACACGCACCCGAGAGGATCAACCGCCATCTCTCGGCTGCCGCGTCTCATTCTGATGTGTCAAGCATACGCACGCACTCTCTTACACCCACTTATCTCTACAACTATACTAATACCGGCGGTTCTTTTCCACCTGTACCACCACGCCTGTACAATCAGCGCCATGGCCGATTTCGCAACATTTATCATACACCATTTAATACGCATTCCCCCTCGAAGACTAGAACATACCGGCTCGCAGCCACAACTTGCTTCCCAGCAGCAAGGCGATTGGGAACGCCGATACGGTTTTCATGATGTGGCATCGATTTTGCTTTTATGTGTTGTGGGATTCATTTCCATCCCACCTGTATTGGAGATAAAAAAAAAAGGGGCACGGCGTTACAACATAGACGGCTTTGGGAGTCTTTTTTTGCCATTTGGAGACGGGGCTGTTTTTGTCCTTTTTTTCGACGCCTCCCTGTCAGCTCTCACATCCCGCATCTGGGACCCTCAAACTTCTTACCACACGACGCCTGGCGACGGTTCTATATCCCCGGCGGATCCATTCCGAACTGTCGGTGAGCCCTTCACAGCCAGTTGGTCGGGCAGCAACGCATGACAACGCAACCACCGCCCTCGGCGCACATGGCACAATGCCGCCTCAAGCGTCACTGAGGGTGTGGGACGACACTTTTTTTCTTTTGGAGGAGTTGTTTGGACAGGGGCGAAAAAAGAAATATGCAAGCTCCGGGCTCTTGATTTGTTTATTTCCTTTTTTTTTTTCTTTTTTTTTTCCCCTGTTTTCACTACTGGGCACTCTTGATATGGGACGGGTTACAAAAAATATCTGGGATGCGGACTGGGAAAAGAACTGATTGCGCATATAGACTTTGCATTTGGTGTTTGTTATTTTTTTTTTGGCTTGTACTATCTTTTTTACACTTGATTTCTTTTGGGTTGGTTTTTTCTACTCATGACCAGGTTCCTCGCGGTCCTGGGAACACAGAGAGAGAGCCAAGGATATGTCAGCAACGCTTTCCTACTTATTATCACACCCTTCTTCCCCTTGTCAGAACAAGGCAATGGCATCGACGGATTATCACACCACGCTGTTTATTATTCCCAATTATTTGCTTTCTCATAGTGTACTCGAGACCTAGGGCACCAAGGCCAGTCGGTCGTCCTCTACTTGGTGGACGAGCTGGGCTGGACTCAGGAATCGACAAAAGATACCCCGCGAGTTTAGCCCTCGTTAGACTGAATGTATAGTACTACTAGTCTCTTCCTTCAAGAGCCAAGATAGCTACACAGCGCCAGCGCATCGAAAAGTAAACCAGGAAAAACAATTTTGAACAAAAAAAAAACCCGCTTGATAATGTTGCATCCCTTTGGCTCACACTGACACACCGATGGTTGGGCAACCCCTCCAAGGCTGGGAATGCCCAATCTTGACGTAGAGACATGCCAGATCTGGCAGACGTGCGTGGAGAGTGTGTGCAGGATGCATCTGAGACGGACAGGGGTGGTTATGGGACATGAGCATTCCCCCGACTTGATGAGGGCGTCAACCTTGCATTGGCGACTCGCTTCAATAACGAATCGAATGGATAGCAGCACAGCAGTTGCTGACCCGACACCTTTGAGGAGGGGGGAAGGGGACGGGGGGCGAAGGGAGAAGGAAAGTAGCAAAGCATCGATCACATCACACACAGGTCACGTATCCGGGGGGAGGAAAGGGAGAGAAGGAATCTCAGATGCGAGGGGAGATCGGAAGCCGGGGTGGCGAGCAGATGTGAGAGCGGCTTGAAATGGCCCCCAATTCTAGGAGAATAAGGGAGAGAGAGAGAGAGAGAGAGAGAGAGAGAGAGAGAGAGAGAGAGAGAGAGAGAGAGATGGCCAAGCCTGACTGAAGTATCGAATCGTGGCCAAGGCGAAACCAAATGGTTAGGGGACCGTCGGTGTCTGACATGACAAAATGCAAATCCCCCCTCTCCCCGCTTGTGATCGGCGCGTGCCGGCAATCTAGGGGCGCGCGAGGAAGCGGAGCGTGCGTGCGTTGGCAAGTGAAGAGCCGAGAGGGGAGCCTGTAGCCTGCCGGTGCTGGTTCACTAATGGCAAAAAAACAGATGGGCCAAATAAAGGACTTTGGTTTGAGACAGACAGCCTTCATAACCTAGTCTAGCGAACGGACGGACGGGAGGGGCGCTTATGCGCTGCATCGTCAATCCGTTTAGCGGGAAGGGAGTGGAAAAGGAAAAGAAAGAAAAAGCAGGAAAAATAATAACAGATAAAAAAAAAAGTAATTCGACAAAGGCCTTGACCCCTTGGCGTTTCCCAATTTCCCAGAGTGACACATTTATCTGGTGGTTGGCCTCCCTCTCCTTTGACGATTCTTGTCGTCGATGGGGGCGCATGCGCGCGCTGGCGGCCGGGGAACGGCGGTTGAGGGCCCGAGGCGGCCGGGGATGCGGCCCAGTGGTTATTTATCTCGCCGGCGTTGCAGATGGCTGACGAAGAGGCCATGAATATTCAAGGTTGAATGGAATAACAAAGTCTGAGAGTGCAGGGGGTGTTGGTGCAAGAAGAAAGGGTAATTAGCAAACGTGACCAAGTCCGAACCTGCGAGGAAGGAGAAGTGTTCGGATGACGTGAAAAAAGCATGGAGGGAGCATGGGACATGCATGGGAAGCGTGGCGATTGTAAGCATGTGTGTGTGTGTGTACGGATATGTGTGTAGCATACACTTTGATTTTGCTAACGTGTTTCATTACACGCGTAGAGCCTGCCTGCGCCAAGCCCTTTTTGGGGGCCTGGCGTCGGGTGTGACGTTGGAAGGGGGTTCCAGGACGAAGCTATTTCCGGCCTTTATTCTTTTATTGGGTTCGGCAACGATTTCCTTACTCAGAATACGCAGACAGCGATCGCACTGTTGGTTTTCGACAAAAGAAGTAAAACGAGGCATATCAATGACAGGACCAGTAATGTCACTGATACGACGACAGATGGGTTTTTCTCTCTCTCCCGAAGAGAGCTGATCATGTTGGGTTTCAAGGGACTCGAGAGGGGGGGGAATGGGGTACAGGATATGGACCAGATGGGTTGTGATTCATTGTCTCGCGATATGGCACTGAAGTCCGTATCCAGCACGACTCTTCCAACCGGAGAGGTTGAAGAACAGAACAGGTCCGATAGGACGGCGGACGGCGGACGGCAGAAAAGGGCCCGGCACGAAGGTGGTGTGGTTGCGGGTGAGTTGCCCTATGTCGTAGGTGTTGCGTCGTCGCGTGCGCGCGTGGGTAGCGGATGGGCTGTTGCCACGCGTGGGACGACAAGGGGAGAAGGAAACAAGACGTTCTCAACCGCAGGGACGCCGCATGCAAACACGCCTCTGATCAGGTACGAATGCCTAGTCCTGTGAGACTGCCCGAGCACCAAGCTGCAGGGTCTCTTTTCTTTTTCCACCTTTCCACGTCTCTCTCTCTCTCTCTCTCTCTCTCTCTCTCTCTCTCTCCCTCTCGGACGCGGCGTGTATCACGGCAGGCGGCTGCGAGCCATCACCGCCCCGTGTGAGCTCGGGGTTCCACACTAGTCGCCGACTATTGCGCAATAGGTTGGGGCAACGTACATTTTGGGTTCGATCATGGCGCCGAGCTGGACGCGGCGACAAAACGGGACGCACGATATGCGAGTACGAAAATTAGAGGGGAGTCTAGGCACCTTCAGGAACAGGAAAAGGACGGAGGGAAAAGAAATAAGAAAGGGGTGACCTGTCATGGTGTGGTGATCATGGTGGTGGTGGTGTGTGGGTGTGTAGGTGGGTGTGTGGGTGGAGGAAGAGCAAGCTCCTATCACTGTAGCAGTTGTCAAGCTTGGAGCTTACTATGTATGGCTTGGTTGTGTGGCTGCATGGCTACGAGGTCGCGCGGACCTGCAAAAGGTCACCGATTGCTGCGCTAATGCGGCAGCGGCCCCGGGAACCAGCGCGCTGGGACCTTCCTCCCTTTTCTCTTTTGCTGCTTTCGGGAGTGACCCGTGGTGGGCCGGAGGGAGGGGAAGGAAGCACCTACACGTGTATCGTAGAAAAGGAGCTTCTGGAACTGACCAATGGGAGGCGAGGAGATGTCGGTTTAGCTCGGAGACGGATGACCAGGCAGGTAGGTGCAAGGGTCCCAGGGCAATCTGCCTTGAGTGGGTACGAGGCAATGAATGTACTATACAAGCATAGAAGAAGAAGAAACGTACTTGCTTACCTCAGGCACACCCCGACCACACCTTGGCATACCTCACCTGGCCCTCCTCACCTTACTTCCAAGTGCAATGTACATTCACTAACTACCTATATAGTCACCCGCGACAATAAATTCTCCCCGAATCCGCGATTGCACTATAGTTGTTTGTTCTTGACTCTGGTAGCTTCCGGGTTGAGTCGACACTCGTTCGCTCGGTGGTTCTCTCCGCGGCAGTGAAAGCACTTGGTGCAGGCATCCCCGGTGTGACACTTCCAGCAGTTCGAGCATATCCGCCTGCCCAAGCAAGCCTTCTTGTGCATGACGGAATCCTTGGCGCCACACTGTTGACAAAGCTTCGCCTTGGGGCAGTTGCTAGTCAGGTGTCCGAGCTCGCGGCAGTTGCTGCATTTGATCTTGGGGCATGTTACACGTGCGTGGCCGGGCTGCTTGCAGTAGCTACACGAAAGCTGGTCGTTGCAGTCATCATCTGTGTGAGTCGGGCTGTTGCAGTTAGTGCAAGACAGTACCTCAAGCTTGTAGTTGAACTCGGAGGCATGAGCGATGATCTGTGCCAGCTTGCTCTTTTGGGCGCGGAAATCTGCAAGCATGCCTTCGTTCATGATGATAATCTCTGCCTGGATGGCTCTGGTTGTCGCAAGGCAGTTGCGGTTTGGGTCTGTGCAAAAGCCTGCCTGGTCAGTCTGAACATAATCGACGATAACCAAGTCACGTTCTTCGCCTTGAGAGGAGTCAAGGGTGCGGACGTCGAGGCGTTGCAGATCTTCGTCTGAGATACATCCCTTGGAACGTTCATCTGCTAGCACCTGTCGGTAGAGGTTGACCTGTGCTTTGTACAGGGGGACAATGAGGATTCTGGCAGGATTGGTCGTCGAGAGATCTGTCAAACGATCGTTTTTCAGAAATCCCTTCACTTGATGCAGTACCCATTCGACATGCGTGCGGTTCTCGAACGAGGTACCACTGCGGGTAGCTCTGGTGCGAGGAAATTGCACAACAAGACGAGATGTCCTTTTCGGCGCGTTTGGGCCGAGTAGTTTACTCAGCTCATGGGCGAATGCTACCGTCGACTCCGGCCATTTTTTCGTTCCCGGAGCGCCTCTCATCATGTCCGAGTAGTTGACTCTGCTGGGCATTGCCCGAAGGTTTCCGTGGGATCGATGGGTGACGTCCAGCCACCCTAGCTCGACGCCGGCTCTGGTTGCTCTTTCCAGTAACGATACCGAAAGCTGCCAGATGAAAGGGTTCTCGGTAGCTCTAGCCGCTTGACCGACGTAGGGAGTCAGCTGTAGAGGATCGCCAAGGAAGAACCAAGCCAGCGGATTATAATGCGCGATAGTGATTAGAGCACTGAGTTCTGACTGTCGAGCGGCTTCGTCCATAAAAAGGAGCTGTGGTTGAAAACGCCTGACGGTCATATTGGCAGAGGCCACTGGCGTAGTGCAGATGATCCCTTTGAAGTCGGCGATCATGTCGTGGAAGACATTCTTGATCAAGAGGCGAACCTCCTTGATGTCTTCTGCCTCGAGATTGCCGTCGCGTTCGCTTATGGCGAGGAGATTGAGAAGCTCTGGATACTTGTCGATATGAGAGCGGTAGTAGTCCATGGCAGCAGTGTCGGCGGATACGTTTTTCGAAATTCGAGCACGCTTTGATCGACCCTTCTTGTACCGATGCATCTCTAAGCCCATCTTTTGCAATTGATATACAGCGAGAAACTGGGGGGCTGGGTCCACGTCTGCGTCCATTGCATTCAGGCGGGCTTCTGTCGCGTCGACATCGAAATGCTGGAACAATTTCTCTTGCCCAGGCACGAGGGTGCTAGTCAATGACTTGACTTCAAAATCGAGACCGTACAGCCGCATGACTGTGGGTGCTTCGTCCAGACCAAGGTTCTCAAAGTAGTCGTGGAACTTTGTAGCCATGTCGTCTACCGCCTGGTTGTTCGGAGCGACATACATCGTTGGCACCGGTTTGGGCTTACCTTTGCCGAATATGCAGGCCGCCAACATGAACATGATCAAATGCGTCTTGCCAGACCCTGCGACTCCTGGGATGAATGCCAAGCCAGCAGGCAGGTTCTTGAGCTTGTCGATGATGACCTTTTTGGCTCCATCAAGCTTCGCAAATTGATCCTGGATTGGCTGCGGACACTCGCTTTGGTCTAGCTGATTCAGTTGACCGAGAATCGGGAACGTGTCATGCAAATTGACAGAGCGTGTGCTCTCATCGCTCTGGAACGATTGGATGTACTTGAATGCTTCCAAGCTCTGGGGCCCCAATGTGGCAAGGGTGGCCGACGCAGGGTTATGGAGTGCATTAATCGCATAGATCTCTGCCTTGATGGTTTTGTCGGATGGTGTGCGACGAATAACCGCTTTGAAGTCCTTGAAGTTCTGGCAATTGACAACATTTTGCAAGTACGCCTGGATCGTACAGCCTGGGTCCAGCTCGATGAATGGCAGTTCAACCGAAATTGGGATCCGAGGGGCGGCCCTGTCTGCATCCTCGCCTCGTGGCTGGAGAGGGCATGATGTGACGTATATCTGTGTGTCGAATGGAAGAGTTGGAAGTGTGATATCCATTCTTGTGGCAGGGAACCAGATGGGCTCTTGGTCACTAGACGCTTCAGCATCTTCGCACATCAGAGAGTCTTGATGTCCGAGAATGAAGTTTTCAATCATAGCAGCGTGCTCTTCTGCGCTGTTGGCTTCATCGCGTCGCAATTCAAGGACGGTCGCGTCGTCGACAGGTGCACTCATCAAAGTGGCAAGGTGCTGGCGGATCGAATCAAGGAACTCTGTGTCATCATAGCTCTCATGCGCCTCAATATGAGATATGAGGGATTCGCGTGCCTTTTGAATGTCTGGGGGGGCAACCGTACGATTGATCTTGATCTGTGGGAGTTGTATATGACAGGGTTCGCCGTAAGTCGGGAGATGAACATCGTGCCCCTCAGGATTGATCGCCACAATGAACTGTGAATCGTTTGTTCCTGGCATGGGAATCAAGTATGCCGGGAACTCAGATGAGACAACGTCAAAAGCCGCAGCCTGCTCGGCGAAGGCTTGGTTTGCTGAACCAACGATGTGAGTGACCATGTACTGGTCTTCCGTTTCGAAACGAACCAGAGACAATTGTCTGGGCAGATCTCTGGGAAGACCTGCACCTGCTCTTGGCACACGATCAAGAGGTAAGTCATGGGCTGTAGGACTTTTTCGGAACCATTGGTCTAGTGGCGTCTGGTCTCTGTCTGTGCTCAAGCATGTGGTAAACATGTTTCGAAGGTCATCTGCAAAGTTGTCGCCTTCCTTCAGAACGGGTTTCTGGATAAGAAGCTGGATGCGAATATTCTGAGATCTGAGAATGTCTTGGAGAGCAATCAGCTCTTGCAAACGGTATCCATTCTGTGGCTGCTCTGTTAACTTCGTCTTGATTTCGACAGCCTTGTCGAAGTTGGACACTGAACGAAACTGGTTGTTCGAGGCGTTAAAGGTGACCTGTGAGACATCCATGGCGATCTGAATGAGGTCGTAACGAGCAATCGCTTCTGAGTGGTGCTCCTTCAGGGCAGCCTGCGATTCTTTCTGCGAGAGTTCGGAAATAACGACGTGGTTCATGTGTCGAAAGTAGATGAGGACCTCACCAACGCAGGTGTTTGACAGACCGGCGTCGTTCAGATGAACTTCAAGTTTGGCGTATTTCAGCATCAAAGGTGAGATAGTTGCAGGCTCCAATTCCAATATGAACGAGAGGCACTCGTCTGAGCACTCGCCGAAGCTCTGGGGGGTTCCTTCGGCATTTGGGGCAGAAGGCCTAGAAGACCAGTTCGTGTTGCCATCAGACAGCGTTGCGAGACAGCCGAAGGAACCAAGCAGCTCATGAGGAACCCACTGTAACAAGTGGTTAGGTTTCGTATGTAAAAAGGTGGCACCCAGATTGAGGTGTAAACTTACTTGAACATCGTAAACTGTCTCTTCGACTGTTTCTTCGACCTTTTCCTGGCCACAGTCTGTCCAGCCTTCTGCACTTCCACCGAAATCCTTAAAACATTGTTAGCTACGACGCGAATCAAATGAAGCAAGCTTTAAATCAAAACGTACCTGTGGACCGAAGTCGGCTGCGTCGGTACCTTCAGCCATGCTGGCCTGATGTCTTCTTGCTCTGTGTGTTCGATGAGCTTGTCAGCTGTGCACCAAAACAGAAGAAGGGAAATTTTCGACTCGATTGAAAAGGCGGCCTGGGAATCAAATAGAGAGACAGACGGATAGGGAAGGAACTTTGGAAAGCAAACAGAAATGGAAGGAAAGTCACAGAAGGGCAGGAGAGGGGGAACAAGATCAGACCTAAATCTGGTACAAGGTAGGCTTTACTATGTAAGTTTATTTTAGAACTTCATAATAATCTTACAACTAACTAGGCAAGCGCAACTTACCAAAGGTAGTTCAGCATCTGGCTTGTCGCAGAACTCTGACCAAGAAGGGTTGTACAAGAGAAAATACGCCTCGATAGCAGGGGCCGTTCTAAGGCGCGCAGGACATGGCAGTGTTCTCGTCAGACACCAGAGGGTCAGCTGAGGCCCCATATATGACAAAATAGGTCGGGAGGCCTAACCTTGGTGTTTTTCCTGACGACCAGGCTACTCACCAGCCAATCTCTAAGAGACGACTAGTAGTCCTCTTCTGCCTCCCCGAGGCTGCCTCTCAGGTGTCATGCCAGGGGACCACCGCCAACTTCTTCTATTCCCAGCATGCTCAGTAGGTCACGCAATATCCGGTTTACAGGTGGCTTTATATGGCTCGCTGGATCGGCGAACCAATATGCCTTCTGTACGGTGAGGGTGTGCCGGCACCCAACATTCCCCAACGGATACCAGGACCAATATAAGCAACCTAGTGATAGCTTTGGGGTGCTCTGTATGGCCCGCCGCAGACGGCGTTCAATGGCCGTGTGATCTTGTTGGGCAGTGCGATATAGGTGAGTAGGGAGTTCACAAGTCCCAGAAGTTTCCATCTTCAGGACGCCATAGATCAAGCCAGACTGTCACGACCATCATGGGCGTATATGCAGATGTGTTAGAGCAAACGGGGAGGATTTGACGTCGTCCAGCACTAACGGTGAATGTCACAAGGTAGTCGGCACTCCCCAAATCATAAACTCCAATACACATCCGGACGAACAGTGTGTGTATCCTCCATCCCGTCTTCCCAAAAGATTACAAGTCACTCGATCGACTTCTGTCGGTCTTCAGTCATGAGCCCTCTGTGGATGAACTCTAATACGAACCTGTGCCTACTTACGAGTACCCCTCGCCGTACTTGCTTGAGGACACTGTTGAGCTCCTGGGACGTATACGCCTCCATGTTCTCTGTATCTCCCGCTAGTATTCCAAGTGCCTGCAGTTCCGGAGACGGCAATAATGGCCTCATTCGTCCTATACTTCTAGGGCTCAATAGTTAGCATAATCGCTGATGTGAAAGCGATGAGTGGGCTAACCGAACACCGCAGTGGATTTGGGCCCGTCTTCCTTTTCCCCGATGATCATATACTCAGCAGGATTTGCCAGTTCATGGAGACAAAGATGTGCTTCCAACCCGCGCCCTATGCTTTGTCGTCCTTTGCGTAGTCGGGGGCGGCAGAGACAACACCCACTTCAACACATATCCACCCCAAATCCCAATACCCTCTTTCTTCTCATTAAGCTAAAGCTATTTTTGCCTGCGCTCGACATGGAGTTTGCTTTTATGGATGGAGGTTTCGTTAGGGTGATTGAATCGCAGGCCGAGTTTGTGGCGATAACAGCAAACAGGACAGCCACAAATCCATCTCTTTGTATGCCACAACGTCCTCCATTCGCCTAAGTATTAGACGAGGCTCGTCCTAGAAAACGATAAGGCTATGGACGTCGCAGTCGCCTTGCGTCCCACATCACGTACGATCGTTCTTAATGTAGGTGCTAAGAGCAGACGATGACCACAACCCCGTCTATAAAGACATATATGTCCACGTCCTATGCGGAAACCCAGAGCCCTCAGTTGTTTACGCAGCGCGCTCGCGGTTTCTGTCTTTTCAGCAGTATTTCTCGAGGACAAGCTCTCAAAGGTAGTCAAGAACGCTATTCTTCCACATAAGTAGATCATCTCGCCCTTTACTAGTTCCAAAGCAAAAAGACTGTCAATACTGTCGTGGTCTCTGAACGCTTTGACCGCGAGTAGAATAGCCAGTACCGAGAGCATCGCGTTGCAGATAAGTAGCCATGGGCCCTATCGTACTCTTCCTTAGGGCCATAACGGTAACGCGGATTTGCAATGATTGAGATCGGGTATCCGTAGTCTGTATGCAAAGAGGATCCCCTCAGATCGTTAGACAGGGCTGAGGGCGGGGCAGAAGTAGCAAGCAGGAGGAGGTAGGAACAGCTTGAAAATAGGAGAGCGCAACCTCATATAGATGCAAGATTCACACAATGGTTCCTATCAGTATAGACAGTTAGCTAATCGCACAGCGTCTGTCGCATCAGGCCAAGTGATAGGCTTCTGGATGTCGGGGGAGTCGAGGGTACCGGAAATCGGGCCCCTTGCCCAACCTGCATTCATCCCCTCTCCTGCCTAGCAGCATTAGCCATTTCTTCGTCCATAGCAAGATCACGTAAACTTGGCATGATTCGGGCAACAGCGAGGCGGTGTGCCCTGTTGGACGGGGTGGTCGAGGTGGTTTAAATCCTGAGCTTCACTGAGCATGCCTGAGCTGGGTCAGCGATGCTTACTAACTAAGTACGGACGCACGTCCCAGAAGTCTGGTGGGAGACTACCTAGGTAGGTACTGCATGGCTGCGTAAGGTGCTGACCTATTTCGGCAATTGAGATGCAGGGGGGCATTCGCCTTGTTGTTGATCTTACATGGTGGTGTATAATTTGTTGGACATGCCTCCAACAGGGATCGTACTCTTTGTACAGTACGTACAGTAGCAAAGCACAGAAGAATACCTGTCAGACCCGATTGGTTTAGGGCTGTTTTCGACCTCGTTTATCGCTTGTTTTTCTTTCCTTCTCCTTCGTCTGGTTTTTCATCTATTTATTTCTTTTTTCTTAACCCTCGAGGACTGTCCCCCTAAAACGGAATCTCTTTCCGGTTTCGAAGCCCGTGGGGACCGAGTGTCATGGCTCCCTGCTGTACGTACGTCGCCGGCCAACACAAATGACTGACCGAGTCTGCAGTTGTTTGCGCTGCTCGAGAATCTAGCCTGTTATTTGACGCGCCCAGCCTCCTGCTCGTTGTGTCATTTGGTGGTTTGTTTGCCCGCCGCGAAATGACACCTGCACAAACTTTCCTCATCATCAACGACCAACCGTCAATCAACGACCAACAACCAACAGAAACATGCAAGTTTGCAACAAACACACGCGCACACACACTGTGCCATGGTGGCAACCAACAGACACATGCGGTTTGTTTGTCACTTGCCTGATCCATACCATTGGCTATATGCACAGAACCCTAGATAGAGTCGCAGCTGTGTACCGGTACTCACACCACACTGAAGTACGTATCCTCTTCCTTCCTCTTTCTCTCTCACCTGCATGCGCGACAAACCCCAACCGAAAACTTGGGAGCTCTTGGTTGCGACTGTACTTTGCTGCGCCTCTACCTTGCATCAACCCTCGTCCCTGCCTCGTCCCTTTCCGGGTGTCTTTGTCGGCGTGCCAAACATGTCATCGATCCTCGTATTAGTGTACAACGGCAGCAATAGCATGAAAAAAAGAAGCAGGAAAAAGAAAAGAAAAAAGAAAAAAGAAAGAAAAAAGAAAAAGCAAACCCGGCCGTACCGCCTGCGAGGCCCCCATATGGTCGCAAACTCTGCCTCGCGTGTCCCGTCTTGGCCGTGCCCCAACATCCCGCCGTGGTCTGCGCAGCGGCCGGGGTCGGGAGGGCATCAAAACATGGCCGTCGCATGGCGTTCCATAGCAGCCTCAGACACCACCTCCTCGTCATGGCACCACTGGAGCGGGGAACGCACGAGGGAAACAGCCCAGCGACATGAGACTTTCTTGTCAGTCATTCTATTCTGGGGCCCTGACGCGGTGGCTGTGGCTTCCTACCCTACCCAAGAGCCTCGATCTGGCGGTTTTGGCTCGCTTGGGGAACGACGTGTTGTGTACGCAACATTCCCCGTCTGGCTTTTGGGGGCGTGGACGGTAAGGTGGTTCCGGGGGAATGCGACGTCTCAACCAAGCGGTCGGGTTGTCCTTCTCCTTGTCCTCGTCTTCATTCTTCACAAGTCTTATCCGAGGGACACGACAAAGACGGATCTGGCCCCCAACCAACAAACTCTCCGACCATTTTGTTCGCCGCTCAGCCAAGAAGAGCGGCCATGGCATGGTCGACGAGACTGAGTGGACGGGATTATTTTGACAAGTAAGAGAACGTTTCTTCCCATCTTCCGCCACCTCTTTCGGCCCCTGGGTGCCCTGAGTCGTCTGGTACGTACTCGAGCACATTTTCCCAAACGTACGGCATAGCCCGGTCCTATAATTACGTACGTAGCGTACACTTTTCCATGTCGCATGCACATCACTTCCAGGCCTCCGTCGTCCCCAACCTCTAGAAAAGTTCGTTCCGTGATGGTCCTTGCTTCCTTCTCGAAGGCCCCCTTGACGACAGGGACAGGTGGAATAAAGGGGATCCAGAAAATCGGTGAGAAGCGAGAGACAAAGATGACCTCTACGTCTTCCTTGCCCTGGTCTCGGGAAAACAACAGCCCCTCGAGAAGTGTCTCTGCGATGCGTCCATGACTGAAAATCCTCAGGGGCGAGGGGTGAGGGGGTGGTTATGACTTCTGCATATCCCAAACCGATAAAATTTCCCGGGGGCTGTGGTTTTGGAAAAGCTCCTTTATCCGCTTCTTTTTTTTGTTGCTTTCCTTCTCGGATTTCCGGGATCAAGGGGGGGAGCAAAGATGGGTATCCATGACGTATAAGTACACTAAAGAAGGTACTGCAGTTGCCCCAAATCCTTTCCGGTCGCTCGCGGCTATCCTCCTCTCCATCCGCCATGCGGCCACCGCAGCCGGGGCATGGATTCCGGGCTGCCGAGGGGCCCTGACGGATCATGGGAGAAAAGAAGGGAACAAGACGCACACAGTATTCCTAGTAAAGGAGACGGCTAGGTACAAAAAGTCTCAAGGGCCGCCCGGTCCCATCTTTCCGTATTCAACACACACCTGCGACCCCCCATCATAGGGACCCCAGTCAGATTCAACCAGTGGGAAACGTTGCCGTCCTAAACGAACTCCATTCCGCACCAGCTGCCATCATGGTTCCGACGACGACTTTGAAGGATACCACAGGACACCACACCCCTCCCCCTTGTCACATCACCCCGGCTGAAGCAAACTGTGGATCTCGTTTGTGTCTTTCTTAATTTTACCATGTTGATTAGAATTTCGGACTGTTCTTCTAGCGCGCTCCTCTTTTTCCTTCTTCACCTTCTTCCAGTGGGGGGCCTTGAGAGACCCAACTGAGCCAGCAAGGGCCGGGTAGTCTGGCTAAAATTACCCGCTCAACAGTCCAGCGGTCCAGCGTAGCGACGGCACGCCCCCCCCCCCCCCCCCCCCTGTGACCGAGACCACCAAATTTCAAACCCGTTGGGCGTCCCCTGCCCTACTACGCTACTAGTTTACACATGCCTGGTAGAGTTTACCATGGTGTACACGTATGCCTGCGCGGTGCGCTACGGCCCTTCCCCCCGGTGCTGGGAGGAGCTTATTGCCACTGTAAAGGGACCGCTGGAACGAACCCAACGTCGGATCCACCGGCGGCCCCTTTTCCCCGGTGACATGAGACTTTGGGAAGCGAAAACACAGAGAGACAAACACCTTGGGATATTGACTCACCGGCTCACCGGGGGACGTTACCATGTATATTTCTGTAAAATTGGGCTTCCTTTCGGTCTTGCAACTGCCGGGGGACGCATCGTCCCCCCCTTTCCCCCCCATCTCCAAGGAGCCCAGCCTAACCTGACCTTTGGGAAAAGGTTGATTTCTCTGCCGGGACCGTCCACCGGACCGAATCCAGCATCTGAGTGGCACGTCGTTGTCTCGGTGAAGCCTCACCGGCGTGGATCCCATCTCATTTTCCGCCCTGCAAGCATGGAGACCCTGTTGTCGAGGTACAACACGTATCCCGGCCAGGAACCACAACTCATCATCTCGAGTGTCCCCATCTTGGGACATCGAGGCTCCCCTTCTAGAACATCCGCATACGTGCCGGTTGGCCGGAACAATCTACCTGTATACTCCGTACACTACACTACATACCCAAACTACAGGTTCGCATTCACCCCTGGAGACATCCCCACCCTGCCCTGGAGCTTCAAGAACCTGCGCTGCGGTGTTACCGACTGCCAGGCCCGATGCCATACCCGTGCTCGTCTCCCGTCGTCCCCGGCGAGGCTTGCTAGCATGGACTCCTGAGACCCAGTCCCTTCGCGCATTGTGCCCGTACTGTAGTACTTTGTAGTTTATATGCAGTACCGGCTCCCGAGCCCGACCCTGCCTGTTGGAAATGTGACAGATCACATGTTCCAGGGGTATTCAGATTTCAGGGTACACATCGCTGTTCAGAGATTAGTCAAACCATCCCACTGGTACGACTGCACGACGGGGAAGACGCCCGGCCGACGGGGAAGCAAAAAGGAGGAAGATGGGGGTGAACGAGACAACATCCATGGAGGGGGTAGGGGGGTGGGCGACTCGCTCACTCACTCACACGAAGAGAGATGCGATGCCCAAGGGGGTGTAAGGGCGGTGGAAGAAGAAAGCTAAGGACAAAAAGTAAAAGAAGACTCACGTGCGTCTGGCCAACGGCATGCCCTCCCTCACCCTCGCCCACTCGTCCAGGTCCACATCCACGAAGCCAACGGCCCCCTCGGCGCCCTCTTCCGCCCCGCCCTCACCGTCCACGCCACCGAGCTCAAGCCTCACCCGGCCCCAGGGGTCGACAACCATGCTGTGCCCGTAACTGCTCCGCTTCGGGTTGTGCGCGCCCACCTGCGCCGCGGCGATGACCCAGCTCTGCGTCTCGATGGCGCGGGCCCGCAGGAGCGTCTCCCAGTGCGCCTGGCCCGTCCGGACGGTGAAGGCGGAAGGGTACAGCAGGACCTGGGCGGGTCCGACGGCGGGGTCGACGAAGGGGCTCCTCGGGCCCGGGTGCGTCAGCGCGAGGGCCGGCTCGGCGAATCGGAGGTCGAAGCAGATGAGACTGCCGACGCGGCCGACGGGGGTGGGGAACGGACGTGTCAGCGAGGTGCCGGCCTGTACGGTTGCACTCTCGCGGAGGGAGCCGAAGTCGAAGAGGTGAAGCTTGTCGTAGGTCGCGGCCTGGTTGACGGTGCCGTCGGCGTTGATCCAGAGGCTGCGGTTGAGGAGCTTCGAGACAGACTTCGAGGCGTCCGGGGCGGCCTCGGGGATGGGGACGTGGATCCCGACGCTGACGGCAAGGGAGTGGGTCTTTGCTGCCTCCCGGAGACCTAGCACGAACGGGGACTTGGACTGCGGCTGGGCGAGGGAGAGGGACTCTTGGGGGCTCGAGGCGATGTAGTCCGAGGCTTCAGGGAGGAAGAGGACCTAAGGTGGCGTGTCAGCCGCGGGTTTTCCTAGACTCCGGTTGTCTCACTGTCCCTGGGGGGGTTTTCGTGCCATGCAGCAAGCCATATTCTTGTTGGACCAAGAGGCAAGGGGGAGCAACAGTACCTTTGCGCCACCTGAGGCCGCCTTGGCGACCAGCCTCACGCATTGCTCGAGGTTGTGCGACAACGATGCCGTCGAGCATATCTGACCGACAGCCTATCATGGTACGTATGTCAGTGAACCGCGGCGACCACGTGGCTGAAGGTTTTGGGATGGATAGCCGTTACCGCGATCGCCATGATACGAGATGAGACGGGAGTCCGGGATGCTCCTTGGGACGGGAAGATCTGGGAAAGCGGAGGGATGCCTGAGTTGTCAGCCTTTTGAATGCTGTCTAGGCCGTCCACGTGGCCTTCACGACTCGGGTTGTTTACAGGTTAGGTGCGTGTGGTGTGTGCAGCCATGAGCGGTGACGATTTTCATGTAACGTGGACGTGTCTGAACTGCTTGGACGGTGGAAGCGCCCATCGACGTTGATTCTCGGGCGGTGACCCCTCCATCTTATCACTTATCTCACGGTGGGTTGCAGCGGGGTAAAGGGCTGTCCCAACCCCCATCGGCATCCATCCCCCCCGGTCATTGCGCTCAGCAACATGAGACGAACGAAGCTAGATCTCGACGAGACCTTGAATTCCATGCCTGGTCATCTCTTCAGAGCCTATTCATACCGTCGAGTTCAAGTGAACTCTGTACGCCCAGCAACAAACGGCCACAAGGGCGCACGACCGACCGCGCGCTTCAGTACCACTCGTCGCCTCCGTAGCTCCCATCCAGCTTCCCCTCCCCCTCCAGCCTCGCCAGTGCCTCTCTCACCCTCACGACCATGGCCGCGCCGTACTCAGGCCCTCCCCGCGGCGGCGCCGGCTTGCTTGAGTCCTGCCTCAGCCAGGGGACCGTACGCACGTCCGCGGACGCCCGCGCGTCGGCGACCGCCCCCTGAAGAGCCGCCGTCGCGGCGTCGTGAAAGGCGCCGCCGAGGATCACGGCGCGGGGGGCGGCGGTGTAGTTTCCGCTTCCAATCCTGCTGGTTTCAGGATGGGGGGGTAAAGGCCGGGAGGCGAGGAGGGCGGGGAGGATCGCGGCGCCCGAGGTAGGCGACGTGACGAAGTGGATGACTTTTGGGGGGTGTTAGTGTCACTCCAGTCACCAGTTTGTGCGTACGTATATGTAATTATTTCAGATGTTGCGAACAGTATGGAGAGAGAAGGGAAAAGGGATCGTCAGAAGGTTACGAAGGGCGCTCGTCTGTTCCTGGCTTACCGTCGTATTCCGGCCTCAGACCGGCGATGACTTTGCTACCGACCTGCTCCGTCTTGCCGCAGAGCACGACGGGTATCGCGGGCGACAATGGCTCACGAGGCTCTTGGGGTTTACTGGCGAGCATCTCGCGTTAATTCTAGGCTTCGTCGGTTCGGGTTTCAAAATCTTGCTCCGTGGCGTCTTGGGTCGCCTTGTGAGACCAGAGCTGTATACTTGCTAGTAGACGTCTCGCAACCGAAACACACACGCAGAGAGAGAGAGAGAGGGGGATAGAAAGCCTTTGGGAGAAGGTTTATGATGGCTGTGAAAACACTCTGGACCCCAAGTGGTGGTTCGTATATGGAGTGGGGTACAGTAGTCTGTGACTGCGCTTAACAAGAGGTCGAATGAGTTCACGCTCACGTGCTGTCTCACGTCAGATTTGGAAAAGCCGGTTGACTGACAGTCTCGTCGATTCGTCGAGCCAAATGCGAGCTACCTAGGCCAACGTCATTCTTCTAACGGCCAGTGACGCATTCACGTGGAGATGGAAAGCGTGATTCCCACAGTGTTGCGTTCAACACACCATTCATCGCATATGCAATCAACCCTACGAGGCTGGACGGGAACGTTACAAATGCGTCGTTGATTACTAGCGAGCTGCCCTCATTATCGGGATAGTTCTGGTTTATGTAAATAACCCAGCTTTCTCTCCCTCCCCGAAATTAACTGATGGTGAAGGGGCTTTGGTGAGATATTATGCACGAGACGATATGTTCAGGGGTCAATACTAGTTGCCCAGGCCGTTCTGGGCGAGGAAGTCCTGGATCTTGCTGGTCACCTCGACATGAGAGTAGCTCTAGGAAGAGATAAGAAGGTAAGCACGGAAACAATAACCAGGGAGAAGGTCGTCTTACGAGCGCCAGGCCGTGGCCAACGCCAGGGACGACGTAAGCCTCAAACGGAGTCGCGTTCTTGAGGACCGCACCAACGGCCGCCGGGATCGACGGCAGCTGGGGGTTGCCAGTTGCAAGGCAGTTGCCTCCGCAAAAGGGAAGGTCCTTCTCTACAGAGGAAAACCATCGTCAGCGCGCAAGTTTACGCCCCAAATGGAGGGCGGTGGGAGACTGTTGTGCTTAACCTACCACCAGTGATGACAAGAACGGGCTTCGCGAACGTGCTGGGCGATCCAGCTTCTCCCCCGATGGTCAGCAGCTCGCCGAACGTAACCGGCTGGCCACTCTTGTACGCCGCCGTCAGGATTTCAGGGTCAAAGTTGCCCGGAGCAAAGAAGTTAATGTGTGCAGCACCCTCGTAAGCGGACACCAGGTACCCAGGGGCGTAGTCGCCGGCCTGGATGAAGGCCCCGCCTAGCAGGAAGTTGTTAAAGAAGGTCGTGTTTGCCGCAAAGCCTGTAAGGACAACACCGTCCGAGATGTCCGGGTACATGGCCGTAAGCGCGTACGAGTGAACGGACCCAAATGAGTGCCCAATATGGACGATCTTATCGAACGTGCAGCTCAGCCCTGGCACGGCTCCAGCGCGCAGCTTGTCCGTCAGCGCCTTGAGGGCGGCCAGCTCGAGAAAGCCCTGAATTTCGTTGATGGGCTCGCCGTGCGAGGACTCGGCGATGCCGAGACGGTCCCAGGAGAAGGTCGAGTAGCCGTAGTCGTCCACGGCTGAGCCCACGTAACTGTAGTTATAGCTGTTGGCGGGGAAGTCCCAGTAGCTGCGGTCAAAGCCAATACCGTGGGTGAGGATCTGGAGCACGTGGCCGGGGCCAGAGTTTGGATGGCAGTATGTTGACGCGAGCTGGTAAGTACCTCCGACGTTGGCGTACTAGAGATGGGCACGTTAGCTCCAGGACTTCGTTTTTCGTTTCTGCTTCACGAAATTCCAAATTTAGTATTGCTCTTACGCCGACTAGATGCTCTGCCGATAAATTCCTTCCTTGTTCTGCAGATCTGACTAGGAAGTTTGTGACGTCGATATTGTTTTCAGGGGTCGAGATGTTGAAGACGCCGTTCCTCGCTGTAATGAATACCTCAACTGTGAGATCTTGGCACACTCGCGCCGCCGCGAGGGCTACGAAAGCCAACGGTAGCTTGATTGAGATCAACTTCACCATGATGCCAGTCGTTCTTGAAATTCGAGTTGTTCCTTGGTTGTATGTACAGCAGAGACAGGCGTATGAACACACAAGGTGACTGTGTTGTAGTGGCTGGGGCAACCTCTAACATCTGTCAAAAATTTAGGGATAATGCTCAAGATACTTATATGTCAACTCTTTCCTGAGGAGAAACATATCAATGTATTGTATTGGGTGGTGACGACATGGCCTAGAAAGGAACAACCACCTGCCTATACGGAAGGCCGACCAGATCCTCCATCCTCGCCGCCCGCTTATGCACAAGCGATGTCAGCAAATAATTGGAATTCTCAACGGGATTACTAGTGGCCCATTAGAAAGTTGGCGCCTTTAGAGCAACAAGGAGCCCGGTTTTTGATACCATATCTCCTCACCGATAATATAACATACTCCTGACGCAAACTTATACGTAGTACCATACGCAAACCCTGACCCAAATCCTTACCCACCCTGCCTAATCACTAGCCCTACTCTGGATGTGATGGAATTTGTAGCGTACCAATACTAAGAACCCACGGTATCCATAAACGCACTCAGAAAGCAAGAAGCGGCGTAGCCAAGCCAAGCGTGCCGAAGCGAGCCCGGAGATTTCGGCATTCTGCAGCCCCTAAGTCTATCTTGCAAGACAGGAACAATAGCGTAGAATAAGCGACAGCGCACTCAGCACCATTCTCAGAAAGAACCCGAAATTCCTGCATAACTCGCTCCGTAAGTGATCCCATTCCTCAGGGCATGGCCGCAGGCCGTACTCGAGTCCGTCTTTGCTCCGGTCCTCAAGCATTGTCCAAGGGAGGAGGGGGTAGGGGAACCATTCCGACGAGCATCAGTTGAAATATCCAGATACCGGCTCCATTGAGATTGCCGCAGATTCCAGTAGAGCAGGAGCTGCGCCAACTGTAGAGGTAGAACATGATTAGCTATGAGGGAGACTCGATAGCCTCGCCCTGTCTAAGCGGGAGCAACCCAATCAAGCGCCGTCGATGCTAAGACATTGCGATCCCCACATAGCTTACCAATTGTGATATGAGCCCGAGGGGCGGCGCTGCTGCAGAAGGCTCAGTCATCCCCTCTCACGTTCTCCGGCGGAACTCCGCCATGAGATAAGAGTTTCTACACATGAGTATTAGCCGGCCGAAGACGGCGCTTGACACCGAATAGTCGCTCGGGCCAAATGTAATACTCCGATCTCTTACGTTACACCAGAAACGAAAACCGAAGTCATGATTGCCATTCTCCTCCATAGTAACCAGCCATTGGTAATGTAGCACACTTTTTATTCCGATACAAATATGACACACACTGACATGTCAGCCGCGAACCACAGTAACTTTTTGGCTCTGCAACTGCTCAAAGCGGAAAAGACCGGCAGGAAGGAGGCTGACCCGCGATCTGGAAAAGACTTGGACGACGATGACCATTGATCATCCGGACGTCACGACATCATGATTCTCCACAAAGGTGTGTTATGCCATGTCGAATCTTTTGACAAATCCTCTAGGCCAGTGACTGCGAGGGTCCCAACGGACAGCTCAGATGCAGATCTGCAGCCGAGATTGCCGGTTGGGGATGAGCGGTCAAATCGAGAATTTGGATAAGATACTCGGTGGCTGCTTACTCACATCCCAGCCATAGCTGAACGCCGAACTCCCGGGATAGTTTGTAGCACAGGGGCATGGATAGGTAGTTGGCAGGCAAAGCTGGAGTATTTGACGGTATTTACTAATTTCTTGTTTTTTGTGAGATCAGACACTAACTGAAGCTCTCGCTGTCTGCCTCTGAGGCGCATTAAAGGTAAGAAAGAGGCCATCCTCTCCCCACGATCCGAAGGCCTGGTGTCTCTGCGTCATCGTGGCCCCAGTTGGTTGGCATCGATTTTGTCCCCCTTCCGTAAAGAGCTACTATGCATCCGACCGTCCGTCTTGACCATGCTGTCTGCGTAACGCCATGCTAAAATGATAAAAATACAACACGGAGGTTGAGCCACTCCTATGAATCCGATATGTCTCGAGAACGCTTGCCAAGCGCAGACTGCTGATCGCGTCGAACGTCACCCAGTCCCTACTTGGGGTCCGATGTGTCCAGCTTGTCGTATGCCGCCTGCATAGCTCGCAACTCAATCTCGTCACCCTCTAGGGCCGCCACCCAGTCTCGCAGTTGGATGTTCTTGCCCTTTTCCTTGTCTTCGCGCCAACTACCGAGCCGTGCCCGCCCCTCGACTGTCAGGGCGTGGTTCGCCGGCGCCGGGGGCCCCGGAGCGGCTGCGCCGCCCGGCTTCCCGGGCGTGCCCATTCTCGGTGTGCTAGCACCACTGGCGCCGCCCGTCATCCACGAGTACGACTTGCCGCCCTTCTTCTTTCCGAATAGTGATCCCGTCTTGGGCATGCCGACGAACATGCTACTCGTGATGTTCTGGTTGGCGTGGCTGCTAGCCTCTGCCTTTTTAACAGCATCGAGTTTCTTCTGCTCCTTCTTCGAGATGGACTTCTCCGAATCTGGCGCTGAACCACCGGGGGTACCAGGCGCAACCGAGCCGGCGCGGGATGGCGTTGACGCGGCCTCGGTAGTTCCATCTTTGCGGGCATTGCGCTTCCTCAACCGTCTCTCTTCCCAGTCTCGTTCAGCCTTGCCCACTTCTCGAACAGTATGGCTCATTGTGTTCGTGGCTGCGACCTTCTGCACCTTGCTGGGCTGGCTGGATGAAGCGTTTTCAAGAGGGCCTATATAAGAGTCAGTATACTGAAAGCATATAAGTACCACATGTACTGACGCTTCTGAGCGCTTGTGCGGGGGCTAGCGCCGTCCTCAGTCGCCGTTTGCTGTGTCGCGTCCTCTCCCTGCGTTTCCGGGGCGCTCTTCAGCGGAGCCGCTGCCGTCTGCCACTCCTCGGGGACCTCGCCGTGTGACGATGCTTGTCGAGTCCGAGCAATCCGATTCGAGTCCTCCATGAGGGTCCTAAGTCGCTGCTTGGTGGCGAGGGAAAGCAGAGCCAACTGGTCCACCAAGAAAGCCTCCTGAGGAATCCATGTCCCCGAAGTCGTCACCATGGTAGAGTCGGGCCCACTCTTAGTGCTAACGGTCACGTTAGGCGCCGGAAACTCCTCTGGCAGGCGCATCCGACCCATCGGCTGGTTGCTGTTCTTAACCTCTAGGTTAAGCGATAGACCCTGGTCCTTGGCAAACTTCTCCGCCTTTCGGAAGACGACGGGTACTTGAAGAAACGCGTTGTTAAGCTCCATAGTCCTAGTCTGAGCCAGACGCTTCGCGGACTCCTGCCAAGCTTTCTCCGCCGCTTGTGCCACAAGTTGATTCTGAGAGTCAGTGCCAGCCTGCTGAGCAGGCTGGTTTGCTGGACCTGCACCATAAAAGCTTCCCTTATTGCCTGGGGGGTAAGGAGGATAGCCGGTTCTCGACTCAGGGACGTAGAGTTCAGACAGGAACTGCTCTTCGGCGCGCAGGTCGATGCCAGTACCGGCCAATGAGTCCGTCACGTCGTATTCGTACTCCTTTTGCGGTCGGTCGGGGGGCCTGGAGGGTGGCCCCATAGCTCCGGGGGTCGACGGTTGCTGCATGACTGGCGTGCCTGGCGTGTTGGTGCCGAGTGCCAAAGTCGCCGTGGTGTATTGAGGGAGGGTAGGTGGCGCCGGCGGTTGAGGGGTAGAAACTTGCGGAGGAGGGGTCGGTCGTGTATCCGGCAAAGCAAGAGCTGAGGTGGCGGTGCCGTTCGCGTATGGTGTCGCATAGCCTGGTGTGACAGGTTGCTGCTGCTGCTGCTGCTGTTGTTGCTGTTGCGCCGCGTTGGGGTAGATGGGAGAACCGGCGGACGTCGCAGCCGTGGAAGGTGTCACCGCAGCGCCCGGGCTTGCCGCGTAAGGTGAAGTAGAGTAAGGAGATTCGGGTTGCGGGGTTGCGCCGGGTGAAAGACGCGGTCGTTTATTAGGAGGAAGCGCAAAACCGGCTTGCGTCGCGGCGGGAGAGGGGGAGGGTTGAGGAGGTGAGAACGCCCTCTGCGGCATCTGAGGCTGCGACTGCGCCATATTTTCTGCGTTATTACAATATGTCGAGGAATAGATTCCAGTAAGTCGAAACAAGAGGTTAATCAGAAGCCGCTCCGATGAAGCTCAGCAGGCCAAACAGCCTGGGCAATCCTTACGCGACTCTGCCCATCTGCTGTGTGCGTCGTTTCGCCCAGACAATGAATTCTCGAGATCGAATCGTATCTGTTGATTATTTGCTACAGCTTGAGCTCGATGTTTTCGCGATCGCGATGTTGAGAACTGTTGACCGTTGGGTGATATCAAGCGTGACGGAGTGGTGAGTATTTGGAAGGAGGAGCTGTCTCCAGGCGGAACTGAGAACCGCGTAAATTTAAAGTCACGTGATAGATCAGCCTCTTCTCCAATGCCGCGCAATATGGCCTGAGCGTCTAGGCTGAAGCTCCAGTTGAACCAGACCTGCGGCCAACTTTTACGCGACTCCTTTAGCACCTGCGCGTCACTCCAGCATCCTCGCCTTTGTGTCGCTCCACATCCCTACTCCTCTGCTCTTCGTTGAGGGAGGACCGTTCCCGTTAACGAAACATCGCGCACAGGGCTGAGCTGTTGCAGATGAGCTGATAGGGTCAACGACAGTCACCATCTGGTGCGACAATCGCAAATCGTAGTTTTCTTCCTCGCTGTCTGCGACAATCGCATTTACAATCATGGCGGCGAAGAGAAAGGCCTCGGCCATGGCGGCCATAGTCTCTGACGAACCAGTAGACCCTGCAGACGAGCTGATGTTTCTCTGCCTCGGGGGTGGAAACGAAGTCGGCAGGTCATGCCATATCATACAATACAAAGGAAAGACGGTTATGGTACGAAACCCCCTTCCCGCCAGACGAGCAGACACTGATGTTTCTCATAGCTCGATGCCGGCCAGCACCCAGCTTACGACGGCCTCGCGGCGCTTCCCTTCTTCGACGATTTCGATCTCAGTACAGTCGACGTGCTCCTAATCAGCCAGTAAGCCCCCCTTCCCCTCCCATATGCTATTGGATCACAGGGCAAGGCAGTGAACGACTTGAAAAACAATATACGGGATCATGCCCTTGGCTCGGGACGGCGCCCTTTGGCGACTCTAGTACCCTGATGGAGCCTTTTGCTACGCCTCTTATGCTATTTCATTACTGTACACAGAAACAATACAAAACTTCTTTTCCTCACCCTGC